GGTCTCCCCCCCGCCCCCCCGCAAGTGTGAGGGGGCTGTGTGCCCCCCTGCTGAGGGTGTGAAGGGGCCAGGGGCAGGGTTTTACCTCTGTGGGGGTGTGAAGGGGGTCTCCATCTTCCCCCCACCGGCTGTGAAAGGCGGTTCAGTCATTATCACCCACAGAAGGTGTGAAGGGCCTGCGTTGCCCTATCTTGGCTTCCCCCCTGAGTGCAAAGGGGCTGTTTCCATACTAAGCGCTGGTATTCCCTCACAACCCTCTCTCCTGCTCCAGGACTTGGCGGTCGCAGAGGAGAAAGAGCCACCACCGGACTGTCCCCTCGACAGCGAGCAGCTGGGCCGCAACACCTGGGCGTTCCTGCACACCATGGCAGCGTACTACCCTGACCACCCCACCGGTGCCCAGCAGAAGGAGATGAGGGAGTTCATCAACCTCTTCTCCAAGTTTTACCCCTGCGAGCACTGCGCTGAGGACCTGAGGGAAAGGTGAGTTGCTTCATCCTTTTATTTTTTTTTTTTTTTGGGTGTCTGTTGCTGAAGGGGCTAGCCTGAAATGCTGGGCTGCAGCAACTATTTGCATATCAGCAGCTCTTCCTGTGGTTGGTGTTTGTAGTTAACTGAACTGGTTTCTTCCATTATTGCATCAATCAGATGTGCAGTTGCTTAGAAAACAAATACCTTTCCTTGTGCAGTTAGCTTGTGAGCTGCCTCTGTGACCTCCCTGAGGCGATTTCGGGATTTGCTGGTTCAAACTGGACTTGTGCTCAGTTGTGGAATTAGACTGGGACTTGAAATAATTTGGCTTTCAGGAGGCAAGTGTTCTTCTACCCCAGAAAATCCCCTTTCTTGGCAACCTCGGCAGTGGAGGCAAAGACCAAAATGGGCTGTGGTGTTTGATAAAGTTTTCTACTCCTGTTACTGCCAGCTTTTTTCTCAGAAGTTTCAACCCTTTTCTGGATGATGAACATGCAAAAAAAAAAAAAAGTTTGAAACCTAATTGCCTTAGCAGGCATCACATGGTAAAACAACTGCTCTTTTTTTTTTTTTCATTTATTATTCTATTGGTTTTTTTCCTAATTCAGTGTTTTGGTGAACTCAAGTACTTTTTCCCTTTTATCATAGATAAGCTGTTTGACTCCTGTGTCTTTCAGTTGACCAGACTAGGCGTGGTGTTTGATAAAGTTTTCTTCCCCTTTTACTGCCAGCTTTTTTTTCAGAAGTTACAACCCTTTCTTGGATGATGAACATGCAAAAAAAAAAAAAAAGTTTGAAACCTAATTATTGCCTTAGCAGGCATCACATGGTAAAACAACTGCTCTGTTTTTTTTTTTCATTTATTATTCTATTGGTTTTTTTCCTAATTCAGTGTTTTGGTGAACTCAAGTACTTTTTCCCTTTTATCATAGATAAGCTGTTTGACTCCTGTGTCTTTCAGTTGACCAGACTAGGCAGTGAATGAAACCAAGCCAATTGCAGCCATCAGTATTTTGTAGTGGAGGTTTGGCCTCTGGTAATTACTGATCTCTGTGTGCTCTCCTCTGGATTCTCTTCGGGACTCATCTTGCGATAGCAGAAAAGGTGGTTCTGGCTGCCTGTGTGCTGTGCGCCTGCTTTGTGTATTGAAGTTGGTGACTCTAAAGAAAGTAATATCTTTTTTTTCCTCTTCCCTGTTTGCAGATTACGTACAAATCAGCCTGACACTAGCAACAGAAATAACTTCTCCCAGTGGTTGTGTCTTCTTCATAATGAAGTGAACAGGAAACTGGGGAAATCTGAATTTGACTGCTCTCGTGTGGATGAACGCTGGCGAGATGGTTGGAAAGATGGTAGTTGTGATTAATCCGTAGAGACTGCTTTGGAAATCTAACAGACCAATTCAGTATGGTGTCGAGTCACTACAGGGAGATATGCGAGTAAATAACTGTGTGTTTGCGTGCTTGGGTATGTGACAGATATGGCTTGTGGAAATAAGGGTAAATCAATTCTAAAAGTAAATCTGAAAATCTTATCCTAATAATATTTTGATAAAAGATTACATAAGTGTATTACCTGAGGGATTGAGGCCTTACATTTCACGCAGGAGTTGCCAGAAGCATGTGAAATTAAGTCACTGACAAACTTTTGTAGACTTTTTCATTATGACATTTCCTTATTTTAGGGACATTTGCTTATTTCTCTGACTAGAATTTGTTTTCCCTGAACACAGTTGTAGAAAGCTGCCCTGTGGCATTTTACGTTTATCTCCAGGCATTGTCCTGATGTTTTAGAAAATGCATCTGATTGATTGTAATTTTCATTTCTGTTGTTCTGATAGAGAAAACTCATGTTGTGTTTTGTGCCAGGTCTGTACCCCCAGATCTCTCTTTCCAAGATCTCCAATGCTTGTTGTTAAGCTTGCATCCAGTTCCTTTGATAAAAAGCCTGAAAGCAGGTGTATTTAATTTAAATACTAGAACTATGGAGCCCAGATTTCTTGTTTTATTTTTGTGTTTCAGCTTATCATGTAAGAGGACATTACTAAAGCAGGACAAAAAATAACCGTCATCTGGTGCATGGAACAAAGTATCAACTGGGTGAAACCCAAATGTTTTAATTTGATTGCTGATTTTATTTGGATCCAGAAGTGGTGTAATGATAAGTATTATTGAACTACTTATTCTTAAAGCAGATAACCCCTTTATCTCTGCTGTCAACTTTTGTCTGTTGTGAAAGTAGCTTGAGACTGATACCTGTAATGAAGCATATTCGGCTTTGTTTAGCATACAGTATTTCTGAGGTGTCACTTGTGTTTTGAAATTCTTGATTGGTACTTGCTGACCTGGTTGATCCCCTGATCTGGTGTTATCCCCAGGCTAAAAATCTCTCTAGAACAAAAGGACTTTACAAGCCTCCTGCAGTATTTGAGTCCTGCTTAAGACTGCAATGTCAGCTTTATGTGGTATTTATTGCATAGGCGACTCAAAGGATTCCCTAGGGTAGATTCCCTTTGTAGAAACTGGTCGGAATCCATGCTATGTATATTTTAGCTAGGTCAGCTATACTGCATCAGTGTATTGATACATAAATGTGAATTTCAGATTCAAGTGAAATAGCAGCATAAGTGATTCACACCACAATGCATATAAACATGTCTCTTTTTATGAGAGACAGCTTACAAAAAAAAAAAATGTCAAAATAATTTCAAGTTCTTAAAGTAGATGGTGATACCATGCCTTTATTGCATTTCTGGCTGTGAAAAGTTTGCAGGAGTTTGCACAAACTATGACAATAGTAGGCTTTTTCTTTCTGTACTTCCCGCTGAGGTTTTCTTGCGTGTTTTAGTGAGCTTCCCTATTTCATGCACTACAGTACATTTGTAAATTTACTCTAGCTGATAGAGTGTTACCTGGAAATGTTAATGGTACTTTTATAATATTAGAATGATGACAGCTCATATCTAAGAACTTTGATCTTCAGATCTGTGTCATGGGGCTCCTTAGTGTTTAGGAAAGCAGTAAGGACTTCAGGAATACATTTTAATGTTTTATGGTGTGTTCAAGTTCTTTCAAGTTGGACCTGTTAAAACAGTATGAGACAAATTTTATGGATAGCTACTGAAGTTTTTTATATAACAACGTTTCTAAACACAAACGCAACAAAACCGATGATAAGGTATTTCATGAAGAGTGCAATCTAACTTATGATTTGAAGGTAGCGTTCAGGTTATTGAAAGTGCTCAGAAAATTTCCCAGTTATCATGTTGAGTGAGGTTCTTAGAACAAATAAATTCCAGCCCTTGGTTATTTTTGGTAATAAACTCAGTCCCCAAAACGAAGCATAGTGGGGAGAGGACCAACAAAAAGGCTGTAGCCCTGCCCTTTTGTCAGGTGTGACCTAAATTACACAGTTCTGTCAGGATAGTTTTAGCACCTGGGGGTGTGGAGAGGTATTTTCTTCTGGACTTGGTTGTGCTGGAGGAGGAATTTACTGTTCCTTTCCAATCTGTCCGCAACTATTTTCTGTGACAATTTCATCGCCCACGAAGCAGATGATGATATTTATTCCTAATTTGCTTCAACATAAATGAGAGGCTTGGTAAGACACCTGTCTCATCCTTTTTCATCTTAATACTGAAAATGGGCTAGGTCAGTGAGTTGCACTTACTCGTGCAAGCGCACTTGATCTTTGCGGACGAGTCCTGGGACCACTGCTGTCTTGTGCTGGCAAGCGGTTGGTGATAGGCAGGTGCATGGTAACCTTCCCCCGTACTGCAGCATATGTCCAGATGTTAGGAGTGTAGAGAGGAAAATAAATGTGTATCCTGCTCAATGTTAGGGGGAGCAGCTGTGGCAACAAAAATTTTGTGTTGTTCAAGGGGGTGGTAGATGTGTGCAGAAGGAAAAACCCCTTCTGCCAGTATGTGCTGTTCTGCTGTCCCTGCAGTGGCGGGAGGGCAGAGGAAGAGCCTTAAAGCTGAAGTCAGGGTCTTTGGCAAATGCTTCCTAATAATGAGGCCACCAGCTGTGGCTGCTAGGATGTTATTAGGGCAGTTTGTAACTTTGCTAAGTGGCCATTTGGTAAAATCTGTGCTTGCACTCTGTTCTCTCATGTTATGGCTTTGCGGAAGACCTTTGACTTAGCTGTTTCTCAGGCATATCATTATCTCTGTGGACTTGACTGTGTGGGGAGGGGAGGATTTTTTTGCTGCTCATTTATACTACATCTCAAGTTTTAATCTTATGTAAGGAATTTCTATTGAAGATACTTGTATTTGTGTATAGAAAATTGTGAATTCTATTCTAAATGCACTCGATTAAATCTAGTTTTAAAAAAATCTGTATTCAAATTATATTTCCTGTTGGTGTGAAAATAATAAAGCAACTGAGTTCATTCCTGGCTTCCCTACTGCATGAAACCTTAGGAAAAGGCATCGTATTGTGCTGGTGTGCCTAACCTTCACATGCCAATATATTACTGTCTAAGCTTGATTGCTCAGCTGAGGTTGTGTCATTCTGTGTCTGTATTGATCAGACAAGGTGGGGCTGCAACTGGTCCTTTTCTGTTGCGCTGCTGAATTGACAGAATTCTCTGTGGGCCAGGAAGCTACAAAAATGCAGTGATTTTTGTACAGCAGGTCCTTGCCCATCAGACTGGAGTTCGGTCTTATGTGGGGACTAGTGGAATTTTTTTATGGGGCTCAACTGATTTTTTTTTTTTTGTCCTATGTTTCTAACAGCGTTAAGGGTAGTGTTACAGTTGGGAGTAGCTCAAATCTTGCTGAATTTGAGCAGGATGGCAGAAGACAGTGTTAGCTACTGAAGGGCAGCGTTTGTTAACTGCATATTCACTGCACAACCATGCACATCCCATCCCATTTGCCAGAAAGGGGAAGCTGCTTCCTATCAATACGAGGAGCCCTTGCGAGACATAGCACAGTCAGGAGCAGGTGCTGCTTGAGGAGATTGTGGCACCTTTCTCAAGAGCTGCTCCTGTGTAATAGGCGCCTGGCTAACCTTTCAGCTTCACAAGGGACTTACTGTTTTCATGGGCTGGTTTGCATTCATAGCTGTAATTTTTTTTCTTTTTTTTTTTTCCCCGAAAGCAAAGAGCAGGGAGCCATGAGGGAATCATCTGCTTCATGAATGGGAGGCAGAATTGCTTAAGCAGGTAGCAAGTGCAGATGTTGGCGGAAGCACCACTATGCCTTTAACATTTTTCCAGGGATTAGCTGTTCCTTTGCAGTGTGTTGGGTGTATACAGTCTCCTGTTTACAGTAAGATTCCCAAGAGTCGCTTTGCTTGCATGTGTCTTTTGCTGCAGCCTGTTACAGGCAGTGTGTGATATTTCTTCCTGTTGGAGTTTTACAGGGTTGGAGAGGGTAGGGTTTAGATTTTGCTGTGGGTTTTTTTTGCCCCTTCCTATCAGCATTGATATTTTTTTTTTTTTTTTTTCTTTTCCATTGCTGGAGTGGCTGTTCAGGTTTTTTGTCTGAATGATGGAGGGGAGCTGTTCAGTATTTTGTGTAGTCGGGAATAAACACTTTAGAAGAAACTGCCAACAAGGTTGTGTGAAGTCAACTCTCGATTTTTGTAGGCTAATAGGAAATACAATAAAGCAAGTAAAGCACAAACACAGCTAATAGCATGTAGGCAAATCAGCAGTTAGAACGTAGAGGACTGGCCGAGGGGATGGGGTTCGCTGTTGTGGTCAGCTGGAGCACTGACCTGGATTGGGAAGTCCCGCAGGGAAGCGTACATGAACAATGCGTGATGCCCCCGAGCTGGCTGACACAACCAGTTCAGGTGTGTCTGCACCGATGCACAATTAATTCACAGTTGAGGGATCTGGGAGATGGTGGTAGTTGGCATTCAGCATGCATCTACTGCATGTCAGAAAACTTGCCACAACCTGCAAAACTCTGGAACAAAGGCTGGTTCCTACCAGCTAAGGATAAACAGGACTCGGTACCTTTACCTGTGCTGATGCTGGGGTATGTTATTGCTGTCAGTTCTTTATTTTTGTAATTACTCCTAAGGTTTCTGGAAGTAAAGTTGTAACAAGCAGCACTAGTATTTGCCAACGTTTGACCTTGGTGTTTGAAAATCCTGTCTGCACATACTGGGCTAGTGAAGGGTAGCAGATACAGCCCGGAAGGTTATGCCGGGTTTTGTCTGGGCTCACAGCATCTGGCATCGTCTAGCATTTAGGTGGTGGTCCCGGCGCTCAGGCCTGCCCAGTTCTGCCCCTGCCTCCCATCACCTTGTTGCCTTGCTTCCTGCGGAAAGGTGCCCTCCGCTGCTGTGCGTTGTGCTAGTTGCAGGCTGTTGGTTTTCCTTTAAAGCACTCCTAATGCAAAAAGCC